CCATTGTATCCCTTCTATCAATCCATCAAGCTGTAATGTGTAATGAGCTTCTGGTTGGCTGGGCTGGGCTGTGCTATGAAAATCTTTACTACCATTTCTCTCTCTCTCTCTCTGTCTCTGTCTCTGTCTCTTTGTCACCACCCCATCTGTACACACATACAAAGCTAACCCTGTATCTTGCATACAATGAGGTGTTATATTGAAGTTCCCACTCTGAGTAGCAAACACATAGTTGTATTATACTGGATGGTAGGGGGTTTATTTAATTGTATTTTAATTTAAAAAATACTACAGATTTGAAACACTTGTAAGTTTGCACTGGTTGATAATCTAGCTATTTAATCATTTTGATTTTCTGAGGCTGCAGTGATACTATCTTTGTTTAGGTTATAAACATTTCCTCAGAAGATACATGAGACTATCATGTTGAGCATTTGGGCCAATAATCTTTTGATCATTGAACATACTTTTAAACAAATTTTCCATCTGTTTTACTTGGCTGCCATTTCCTACCTTACATATGACAATTATGGGTGAACTGTCATTTAGTATTAAGTATATTTTCCTGTGGACAATTTATAGATTTTTCCTAAGGTCTGAGTTTAATGTTTCAAATGACCTACAGTACACTGGAAGCATGTGATCTCGCCAAGTTGCTTTGGTCTCAGTATTTTAGATGTCAAATGCTGAAGTGTGCCATCTTTTCCTTGACATTGGTCATTCCCTGAAGCTGAATGAACATTTGCTAAAGTATCTGATCCACGATAAGAGTGACAATTTATTCTCTGATGATCATGATGGAAATTTATCCTAATTCTGTATCAGCTCCTCCCATATACATAGACCTTACCCACATGAAATTGAGAAGAACAAATCTGGGTTAATTGGGGAGGGAGGTGAGATTAATCATATGCTTGTTGTAATGGAGCTGATTAATCCTCTTTATAATATTTAAATTTTGTTTCATTGTTATCTTTCTTCCCGATTTTTACATTGTTCTTTTATCCTCTCTCTCACTTTCACTTTCCCTCCATTGTCATAATGTATTCCTGTGAGAATTTTCTTCTCATACCCTGGTCCTTTAAAGCTTCTATTCAACCCACAGACACTCACTGGGCACACTTCAACCTTTACTTGTTTTAACCTTATTACCAACAGTGCCCATTTTACCTAGCAAAACCTGGCCACTGGATTTATCTGAAAATCCATAGTTTTCAAGTATTGATAGACTTCCCTTAAAACTTTACTGCCTGACTCCCAGTCACTATCTAATTCTAATTTATTTCATCCTCACTCATACCACTGCTGTATATTCATGTAGGGGGGTACTTCAGAAAGTTCATGGAAGAATGAAATTATAAGATAAATTTATTTTAGTACAAAATTTTGAAATCTTTTCATGATATTAATTTTTTCATAATCATTTTCCATGAACTTTTTGAAGGTCTCATATGTATGTATGTGTGTGTGTATATATATGATGTGCATATGGTATATATGTGTGTGTACATATATGGTATATGTAAATATATGCCATATATAATCTATATTCTTCTTAGAAATGATTTATAGTCACATGAAACTTTTCTGCTGTTTTCTGACCTGTGTTTTCTCTTTGAAAACAGAAGTACTTACTGATCTTCTTTTAAGAGCTATAATGCTGAGTTCCTTTAGAAAGTTTTACAGTTTAACATTTTGGTAAAGCGTTTACTCATTCCATTTATATATTGTAACACACAGACAGTCACTATATAGTAAAACCCATGCTTTATAAAATGTCCATCAGGGCTGAAATCCTTTTATGAAATTAGAATTCCTTTCAGTATCTTTTAATGAATATGATAAATATTAAGTGTTTTGGCCAGCGCCATGGCTCACTTAGCTAATCCTCTGCCTGTGGCGCCGGCACCCCGGGTTCTAGTCCCGGTTGGGGCGCCGGGTACTAGTCCCGGTTGCTCCTCTTCCAGTCCAGCTCTCTGCTGTGGCCCAGGAAAGCAGCGGAGGATGGCCCAAGTGCTTGAGTCCCTGCACCCGCCTGGGAGACCAGGAGGAAGTACCTGGCTCCTGGCTTCGGATTGGTGCAGTGCCAGCTGTAGTAGCCATTAGGGGAGTGAACCAACAGAAGGAAGACATTTCTCTCTCTGTGTCTCGCTCTCTCTCACTGTCTAACTCTGCCTGGCAAGAAAATAAATAAATAAATTAATTAAATTAATAAGCTTCTAGTGTCCCGGTTATTGCCTTGAACTAATTAATGAATATTTAAGAGTTCACTGGTATTTGGAAGGCTGTCAATTTCCAACCTGATTGCTCTGAGGATGGTTGTCTTCCTTATAGAAAAAGCATGAAGTTGATTTCTTGGCTTCCTTATCATACCATGTTTCTTCCTTTCTGTGCCCTGGGTCCAACAAATTCAGTACAGCCATAAGCCAGTTAGAGCAGAAGATTCCTGAAACCAAAAGAAGTAGCTCCATTGTTACCTGTTTTACCTAAATCAACCAACCAATTAATAAATCTTCCAAGGTTCAAGTATTGTGGAAAGTCAGTGTGTCTATCCCTGGGGAGCACGATTTGCCTTTTACCCCTCCTTGCCCCTTCCTTTCCTCCTCTAAACTGTTCAACATCAGGCTAGAAATGAGAGAGCTTTCTAAGAAATCATTTGGAAGTCTGGACCACTATATGTTAAAAACTTAAGGTCTAGAGGCAGGTATCCAAGGAAAAGAACTGCTTAGATATGCTAAGTGAAGGAAGTGCTGGTTTATCCATCTAATGTTGCGACCTCACAAACCCTGAGCATGGACAGTGACACATTTTATTGTTCATTAAAACCTAGAAAGCCACAGGATGTGGATCATTTTATTTTTATTTGGAAGACTGAAATCTCTCTTCGAATTTTCTGCACTCAAACTTTAAAGAAAATGTAGATATTTTAGCAAATTAATGTGATAAGCAGATTCTTCCTAAAAGTGATAGTCACATGAGTCTTTTTAGCTGTTGTTTTACCTGTGCTTTTGAAAACAAGAGCATTTACCAATTCACTTGTTAGAGATACAATACTAAGATCCTTTGTAGTTTTACAGTTGGACATTGTGGTAAGATGTTTGTTTATTCCTTACATTTAGGAGTATACTGAATCTTCTCACTCGTGTAACATCATTTTCTTCAGTTTATTTTTAAGTAAAATGAAGAACTGCATTGATTTCCATCTGGCTGTGAGAATGTTTGAGAAATGAATTTACTTACTTGTGTTTTCTAAGAAAACAGAATAAATTATATTACATCCACTTATGAATTAATTTAATAATTTTTCCTTCTAACTTCTTTTTTTTAAATGATTTTATTTACTTGAAAGTCAAAATTAGAGAGAGGGGGAGAGAGAGAGTGACAGAGAGAGAGAGAAAAAGAGAGAGAGAGATAAAAAGAAATCATCCATCTGCTGGTTCACTTCCTAGCTGGCTGCAAGGGCTGGGGCTGGAACAGGCCGAAACCAGGAGCCAGGAGCTTCTTCTTGGTTTCTGACATGGGTGCAGGGGCTCAAACACTTGGCCATTGTCTGCTGCTTTCCCAGGCACATTAGCAGGGAGCTGGATAGGAAGTGGAGCAGCCAGGACTCAAATCGGGGGCCCATTTGGGATGCCGACACCACAAGCCGTGGCTTTACCCACTATGCCACTGTGCGGGCCCCTCCCTCTGACTTCTTACACTAAGGTATTCTTATTATTACATTTTATTAACTCTGTGGAAGAACCAACAACTTAGGAAAATAATATAAACTAAAAGCTATTAATTAACAAGTTTTTAAAATATAATTGTTTAATATATGTTTCATACTGAATGTTCTTTGTATATGGTATTCTACCATAAAAACCAGAAATGACATAAAAATAAATAGACTTGGCTGTGGGAGTTACTGTCTATCATTTTTCTTTGGGAGGGAACACGGTATGTTAAAATTTGAAAGCATCATAATTTCCATAGCTGAAGAAAAGTATAAGAAAGTTAACTACATTTTAAAACACTACATATTTTTGTTATTAGTTACACTAAAATAGTTGGTGTGGTCAGATAGCTAAAAATTAATGAAATCATTTTTCTCATAAATTGCCTATGTTTTTTAAAAAGCCTTTAGTTAATATCATTAATATAACCCAATAACAGTACCTGTTTGTAATAGAATGTATTAATATAGCCAAAAGGTAGATATTTCTGAATATGCTTGTCAAGAGTGTATCCTATTTATCATTGTCACCTGCTACTCATTTAAGGTTTTATGATTGCTGACTGTTTGCTGAGATGACAGGTAGTAAAACTGTTTTTTGTAGTTGTCCCTTTTCTTTTTTGGCTCTGAATTATTTTCTCTTCTACATTCCATCTCTGCTGTCATTTCTAATAGCTCTGCCTACCACCACATCCTGAAATATAATGTAGGGGCCATGGTTCCATTTTAATGTTTGTTTATACTAATGACCCTCTACTGCCAAATTTTAATGCAGGATTGAGAAAGGTGTATAAATTTAGTAGATTTTGAGCATTAATGAAAGAATCTTGTACATTTGCATTAAAATACTAATGCCTTTGAAACTCAGAATCTGCCAAAGGACTTTTCTTGCATAACACACAAAAACAAACAGGAAATCCTCCTTAGGTGGGAGATTAGCAATAGACTGGGTACTGTCTCACATCCTAAACATTGAAAGTCAAGAATGTTTTTTCTTAACTAGAATAATCCACCAGGGGTTCCTGCTCCTCAGGTCTGCATTCCAATTAGAATTACAGACTATTCCAAAAGGTTTACTTTTGTTACTGGGCTTATGATTAAGTGTGCATTTTTTATTTTATTCTCTGGGGGTGGGGGGAAAAAGGGAAAAACACATCTAGTGATAGCTGTTCATTGGTCACCACTGAAAAGAAAATTGAACTTAAAGAATCTATCAGAAGTTCTCTGGTCAGCCTTTTGTTACTATCTTGTCTTGAGCCCTTTTTTTAATGACATCTATTATCAGATTGAAATGGCGATTGAGACGCTGCAAAAGTCTGACGGTCTGTCTACTCACAGAAGTTCTCTTCTCAACAGCCATGTAAGTTGCCTCTTCTTCATGTAAACTAATCTCTTGCTTGTTCTGCATGTCTTGCTTGCCTCTAAATGCTTGTTTTATTTATTTACTTACTTATTTGCTTATTTATTTATTTTATTTCTTAACCTTCTTTTCTCAGCCCCTTATGACCTCTTTCATTTAATGGCTATTTTCTACACGGAAAATCAAAAAAGTAGAGCCCCCAGTACACTGTCCTAGCTATTTGTACTGTTTCGGTACAGATATAACATTCTCAAGTTAATAACAAGTTGCTTTTATTTGTTCAAAGTAATTAATAATGATTTTTAAATACTTAAAGCTTTTTTAGTTTGGTATTTGTTGACTGTAGAGTGAAAACTTGTAACCTGTGTCTCTATGTCTGAGACCGAGAAACAGTCATGTCTGTTTCTGTGACCAGTAATATTCTTTAAGTGGGAAAAGATTACTGAAGCCAAATGCAGTGGTAAACTGAAAACGACTTCTTTACCAGTAAGTCTGGGGGGATAGCCAGGAAACAGCTGCATGGCTGAGCTCAGGTCCTTAACCCAGAGAAATGAAGGTGGGCCTAGAGAAAAAGTGAGGCTGTAGGTAACCCACGAATTGCTAATAATTGAGACAAAACAATTACCCTTACTATCTCCGGAAGCCTCTCACTGTTAATCAGATGCAGCATCACTATGACACTGGTAAGTAACTGTAAGAAGGGTGATGGCAGTTATGTGAAGTTAATAATATTGTGCACTGTTCAAATTTGAGGAGCCATTGAAAATGTTGATTAAAAATTACCTTGTTAAGATTGTTTGAATATGTGGGAACAGGTAAATAGACTTGTGACTTGAATCTAATTGATAGAGATGTTTTGTTAAAGTAATATTAGTGACATTAATAAGAAGAGTTTTTCCTCCAAAAGCCCAAAATCAGGATCTTTTTTATTTTTCAATAAATCTTTAGCTCATGGAACATGTTTTTGCTATGCTTTTTAAATATTTGAATTTTGAAGTATTTCAATCTTATGTTCCAAAATAACATTAAATATTTCCTTATGTTCTACATGTTTGCTTTTTGGTGGGGTATTTTGTTTTATTTCTTTTTCAAAGGACAGTTTCATGGTAAACAAATACAGGGTAGCCAACTTCAAGAATGCCTGTAATTTTGGTGAAAATTATAGATATAACTTAAAAATAATAGTATATATTTTGTACTGTCTCTTTGAAGCAGTTTAAGGTATAACCCTTTCTGAAAATTTGTATTCAGTATGTCTGTCTTTTGTATGTTTCCCAAGCATATCCCTGCTATGTAGGAATGAGTCTGTTGTGCTAAAGGCTGATTTATTATATACTTTTAAGTTGCATGAATGTGGAGTGGGGGTGAAAAATAATTGGTGTGTGTGTTTTGAAAGTATTCTTCACTTTTGGTCAGAAAAGTGCAGAGACTTAAGAAAAATATAGAACTTAAGTTTCCAGTTACCATTTTTCAGTTTTTAGACCTGAGTATTATTTTGATAGTCAATTCACATTTCATTCTTATTTGAAATCTGTAACTTAGCAAAGTATGTGATACATTTAATTGTAGTTTCAATTATTCTTCTAAAGAGTGTCTTCATGAACAATAATATAAATCAGAACATGGTTTTGTGTATTTTTTACTTGTTGATTTGTTTGCAGCTCCTCAAATATCTGTGTTTTCTAAAAATAATTACTTTCCTCTCATATAATTCATGAGGTAATATATAGTAAGTGTGTGGATTAGGCTGCATATACAATACGCAAATGTTTATTATGGCATGACTTCATGTTTTTTATTACCTAGTATGGCAAATCTTCCATACTATTAATTGCCAGAGGCATTGCAGTACATAGGGAAAGTGAGTGCAAATATTGCTAATGCAAGGATAATCTTTCTCTAGCTGTTTTGATTCGAGTTTATTACTCCTCTAGGATACAGCAAAGTTTATTCAAAAACACATTTATAGTCATGTCTTCAGGAATATGAATCATTTGCCATATGGTTTGTACGTAGAGCCAGGATCAGTGATCTGCTGACCTGTCCATGAGGTTAACTTCTCCCTGAACACAGAAAAAAAAAAAAAATGCCGCTCTCTGTTTTTGAGAAGTTAATTAAGCTCCAAATTTTTATTAGATACATCCAAAGAACTGTAATAAAATAATGCTTGTATCCTAGTTTATAACAACCTGCTAAAGGAATTTTAAATTCTGTGAACCTAATTGATTTTTCATTGTTTAGAAATTTTTCAACGCAGAGGTTTTACTTTTTTTTTTTTAAAAAAAAAGGTAATATTTTAAATAGCAGAAACTGTGCATTACCTTTATGTCTCCTTTATGTATTGCTTGAGGTTGAGGGATTTTTTGAGGTAGGCATGAATTCAAGTTTCTACAAAGGATCAATTTCATTAGGCAAAAAATTAGGAGAAAGTGTCAATCACCCATACCTCATGTTTACTAGTTTTTAAAGAGGGATGTTATTAATTTGGAGCAGAGAAGGCTGTTCTCCTTCTGTTTTGCGACATGACATAGAAAGGATTCTTATTTCCTTTTTATAAACTTGGTTATCCTCTGTAATCCAGAAAACTTTCACTGAGAGCAAATCAAATAAATAATCCCTTCACAGGAGAATCCAGCTGGATTGCTTTGCTTTTCATCTTTCCATGTAGTAGAAGATGAGGTGGCATGTTACGTTTTGTATCCCATTTTCAGCATGTTCTTAAGAGTTTTTGTTACTGCGGATCTATTTTTATCACTGTCATGCTATTAGAATTCAGATTAAAATACATTTATAACTTTTTTATTTCACACACTATATAGTGTCTCATCTATGACTAAATACAGTTGTACTGAAGGCAGGGCTTTATTCTGTTGACATTGTTAAGATGATGGCCATTCTTTCAGTGCTGGTGTTTCATAGACAGCCATCACATGTGTATTGTCCAGTGACATTTCCAATACAGTAAGGATTTTTTGTATGTTTTGCCTACCCATGCATCTCTAAGGACTTGCATAAACTGATACATGGTGGCTACTCACTAAATATTTACTAAATGAATGAACATAAGAAACAGTAGGCTGGAATAGCCTTTATCTTACTTTTAGTATTCTAGAATGCCTTTGCCAGTAGCTTGTATGTTTCTGTGTAGACTCATGCATGCATAGTGTTGTTGCCTTTGTTTTCTAGGGTGCTTCAGTAGATGTAGGTGTGAATATTATTGGTAGAGGAGGGTCTCCTTGTGGCATATCATTTGGGTGATAGCTGGTCACTCATATTTCCCCACATGAAGCCTTCTGTTTAAGAGTTGATAACTTTTCACCCTTCCAATCAAATCCTTTAAAAAGCTTTAGCCAAGAATGACATCACTCACCTTATATGAGCACTTCAAAAAGTTCATGGAAAATGGAATTGAAAGATAAGTATATTTTTGTTCAAAATATCTTGAAATCCATATTATTCCTTTTCCATTGACTTTTTAAGATACCCTTATGTTTTAGAATAGTGCTTTTGATACGACTTTACAGAATTCTTCGTAGAATTTAAATACTTTTTAATTTAGTATTTTTATTTCTGATTTTTTTTGCATGTAAAGGTGCTGGGTAAATGATGTATAGGACATTCAATTCTCACACCAGACTTGTTTATATTTTTTCTCACTTGTGATCAATATGAATCAACATTTCTGGTAATGTTGTATCCAATTTGGAATCCTTGATATTGTAAATCTGAATTCAAACTGTTAAATTAATTGTTTTCTACTTTCACATAATATTTGTAAGGTTTTCTACTTTAAAAAATTCAGTTTTAGTTATATAGAAAGACTTAGTGTTTATTTTATACATTTTTCCAAATCAGGTAAATACTTACTAAATTTTTTGTAGTTTTAGCTACTGAAATCTATTCAATTAAAAGCAAGACCTTGTTTTTGACTTGCTTTCCCTTGACTTTGTGGCATTGTAAGTGTTATAGAAGTAAGTCCTGTCAAAATGTGTATCATCAGTGAACTGAAGTTTTAAAATGAATCCTAATGGATAAGAATCCATCTGGGAAAAGATGTCAGATGTTACATTTAGATGTTAATTGGGCAATGTAATATTTATTGTTTTATTTGTCAATCAGTATATTCCTTTAGGAAAAATAAGAACTGTTCATTGTCAGTAATGGATCCTTATTAATATAGATTAAATGAAAAGTTTGAAAGATGCAATTATCTCAGTTTCTACCCTCAGATGAATTTATGCCGGTTCATTAGTAGAATACTCAGGTTTTAAACATAAAGGCTAAAAATTCCTGTGGTATTTTATGGGCTTTTAAAATCATAAATGTAAGCAAACAGTTTGTAAGACATTTTATAAAAGAGTAAAAGAAAGAATAATTGTTTAGTTCTAAATTACTGAAGTTTAAGAGTGTTGTTTTCTGATACCCAAATACATTTTATTGTAGACAAAGCTGATGGAAATGATAAACCTTAAAACAGGCATTGGCTTACCTTAGGCAGCACAAGGAACACTCACAAACTTCCTCATACATAGAGACTTAACTGTCACGTTTCTCTGTTGCCGTAAAAGAAATGCTTTTTGATCCATGGTTTAGGCTAAAATTTTATCACCATATCAAAACCCAAAGGTTAAATACTGGCATATGGAAAGCAAATTATAATACCCAGCTAAATTGCAAAGCCTTATCTCCTAGCTGTTAAAGCAGTGTCTGTTAATACAGTGAGGTTTTCGAAGATACAACCCGAGGTGGTGCAGTAGTTGGGAGGCTTCCTAGCTGGGACAAGTCTAGCTGCAATGAAACCACCTCCATTCCTCAGGGCTTTTTACCTCTACTTGGTCTCCCCGCTGCTCCTTCAAAATGCTTAGCAAGCTTCTGGCAAGGATGAACATTTCTCCTCCTGCAAATGTAGTCTTGCCACTATCAGAGTTACAGTTGCCAAACACCTATTCTTGTGGAAGTTTTTAAAACCAGCCCATGATTTTATATATGCATAATTAGTTTATGCACATACACATAGATAAACAAATGCAGCTTTTAAAAAACTTTTTAAAAGGAACATTTTTTAAGAATGTAAGCTATTTAAGAACAATGACCAGTTTATAAAACAGCTGAGATATTTTAACTTGCTCAGCCCTTTCTTAGTACTGCAGAGCCAAGCCACTAAAAGCTTCTGTTTCTCTGAAATACTCAGTTGAGGTATGAAGAATATGATTTAGGCTTCTAAGCAGTTTATGCCAAGTCTTGCTTTTATAAATTATCTTACTACTTATATGAAGAATTAACTTTGCTTAAGATTACTCTAATGGACTTTTACATATATAATACACATAACACATATCATTATATCATTGGACTGAAAATATTTTATGTTGAACTTTTAATATTTGTACCAGTTTTATAAAAAGAAGTTATGATAGTACTTCAAATTTTATTTTATTTTTCAAATTGTAAAATTTTAGGTACATGAAGATTTTGATAATTATGAGAAATGAATACTCAGTTTTAGGTATTTTTCTTTAATTTTAAGTAATGAAATGTTTCAAAAAGACTACTACACTATTAAGGCAGTTTAAAGAAGTTTTATTTGCATCTTATTAATTCAATGATTTTCATTTGCTTATATTATATTAGAATTTTTTAATTGGGTCTATTTTTGTAATACAGTACTTTTAGTTATAAAATTCATGTTACAAAATTGATTATGTTTATTTGTGAAAAAGACTTTTTTAAACTTAGATTTACTACATATAATTTGTTCATTTAGCAAAGGATATAGCACTCATTTTTTTCTCTTTGTTAAGAAAACATACCATTATGCCTTTTACAGTCTATATTATTCTATGAGAATACATGTATATATTTACAAACATGTTTGGCATTTTTAATTACATTTATTTTGTGTTCTGTGCTTATAGATATGGGAACTTCATTAGTTGGTTTTTAAAAATTACTGTTTTCTAAAAATATGTACATTTTATATATATTTCCATTTTCAGGGATTTTATATTCTATTAAGGGCCTATGTTGTTTCTTCACTGTTTTGAGAATAGCAGTGGAATCCTTTGCTGTGTCTGGAGTGTGTATCACCTAAGGGCCAGCACTTTTGTGAACTGTGTTTCCCTGTGGCTGCTCAAGTGCTTCCAAATTTCACTCATCTTACTGACACATGTGGATGAAATACATGAGTCATATTGGTGTTGCCACATTTAAAATTCCATTTATGTGAGAGGCAGAGAGAGAGAGAGAGAGAGATACAGAAACATAAAGATCTTCCATTTTCACTCCTCAAATGCCCACAGCCTCTGAGGCTGAGCCAGGCCAAAGCTGGGAGCCAGAAACTGAATCCTGCTTTCTCACGTGGGTGGCAGAGATCAAATACTTGTACCATCACAGGCTGCCTTCCATGGTTTGAGAGAAGTGCTAGTTCTCAGTTATAGGCAGAATACTAATTTGAACCGCAGTCATTTAATTTGCCAATCATTTTACCTGCTCTCTTTTATATGACATGAGTATGTTCAGTGAACCTTTCCTATGTGTAATTTAGAACACTTAGAATTAAGTGCCTCTGGGAAACTCACTTACAGGTGATTCGTATTAAAAGAATTATTTTTTAACATGTAACATTGTTCTGCCACTATAAAAAGGAGAGCTTATTTTATATAAATTTTTAGAAGTATAATGGCAAGCTGCATATGTTTATTTTAAGATCTATTTATTTATTTGAAAAAGTTACACAGAGAAGGGGAGGGGGGCTTCCATCCGCTGGCTCACTCCAACTGGCTGCCACAGCTGTAGCTGTGCCATTCTGTAGCTTCCTCCTGGCCTCCCACAGGGGTGCAGGGGCCCAAGGACTTGGGTCATCCTGGGCTGCTTTCCCAGGCCATAGCAGAGAGCTGGATGGGAAGTGGAGCAGCTGGGAATTGAACTGGCGCCCATATGGGATGCTGGCACTGCAGGTGGCAGCCTTACCCGCTGCACCACAGTGCCAGCCCAGCAAGTTGTATATGTTACAGAAGTAATTCATATATTTAAATTTACATGTTCCCATGTTCTCTTGCATGTATGTTCCATAGAGGACTTGAGGTCTTTCTGAAAAAGCATGAATTTTTGAGAAACATAAAGTGCTCTGTTCTGCCTTTTAGGCTTAGTAGCTATGTTTAGTAAGCCAGCAATTGTAATGGATTTAATGAGAAGTTTAATTACATAAGCATTGTGTAAGAATATTTAAAATTAAAATGATTCTGGAAAATCAGTGTCATGGTTAAAGGCAATAATTCTGAAAATATTTTAGTTGAATTTTCTTCTTGAATGTTCAGATTCTAAGTTTGACCACAAATCTTAAAATATATAAACAAAATGGAGAAATGTTGTAATTTGTATGAATATAATCATTTTATCATTTGACTAAATTCTTAGAAATCATGAGTGAGCTCCTATTTATCGTCGCAATAGTAGGATCCTCAATCTTTGTTTGGCTCTTATTTGGTTGTCAGTAAATTAATTCCTTGGCTTGCATAATTTATACTTAATTTGAATTATGTATTAACTCCATTATACCTCATATATATATGTAACGAAAATTTTGTCGAGACAAGTAAAGTATTCATTGCTAGCTTGGAACTATTCGTCTAAAGAAATTGGAAAACATGAGTTGAAAATCTGACTCAGGAGTTGTGACAATATGTCACCTTAAGCAAATCATTTATTTCAGTTTTCCTTTGGTAAATAAATAAAGAAATAATTGGTGAATTTTACTAATGTTGAAATTCAGTAATCCATGCATGTGTTAGATTTTCTATAAATTCCTTACATGTTGTATTCTTTAAGGATTATTTTCTTAAAAAAATTATACAACACAAAACTTGAAAATGTGGACTATAGGCTGAGAAAACATTGCTTTACCCGCTACCATTACAGTTCGCCTTCCAGAATTGTGTGAAAAAAATATATAGCTTTGAGGTAGAAAATGTCAAATGATGTAATAAATGATTCCTTTTCATTACATATAAATTATTTGCCAATGTCTAGTGAATTTCTTTCCCACTGGAGAAGAAATAACTGAATTTTGTCCTTTCTGCTTGCAGAATTTCTCTCAGTAGATAATATTATTATGGTAAAATCTAATTGTTATTTGAGATAAGTAAATTAAACTGTAAAAATGAATAGAACTTTAATATAGATACTAATACATGGCAGCCTGCTGTTCACATATTGTTAACAAACCAACACTAAAGGCATGTGCTATGCTTGAGGCTTGGTAACTTGTTTTGTTATATTTATGACCAGTTAATGGGATTGTTTGAATTCCCTTAGGATGTGTTTGTCTTCAGAATTGCAATCAATACAGGGAGAATTAGTGTGTCTCCACATGTGCTTGAATATTTGAAGAAATGGATATTGTCTGAGGTCATAAGTGATGTTCATCTGTTGTCAGTGTTCCTTAGAGTTTCAAAGCCTTATTACACTGGCCTCCTGATTCATCAATTCAAGCCATCATAAGAGTTGATGAACTTCTAAGTATTTCTGTGAATTGCAGTGGCTTAAATTTGGGCACATTAAATGATCTTTCTATATTTACTGTCTTATTCCTACTAGCTCCAGTGGCTGCTGGACAATTATGAGACAGCAGAAGGAGTAAGCCTTCCCAGAAGCACTCTGTACAACCACTACCTTCGACACTGTCAGGAACACAAACTGGACCCAGTCAATGCTGCCTCTTTTGGAAAACTTATAAGGTCAATTTTTATGGGGCTACGAACCAGAAGATTGGGCACTAGGTTGGTACTGAAAATAAACTATTCTCTCTTTTTCAAATTTTCAGCAACTCAATACATTGCATAAGCAAAAATACTTGATTACATATAATATAGAAGGGCAAAAGAGAGAATGAGCTAAATTTATAAAACCATCAGGAGAAGGAAAGTTCACTATTCGGTGCACACTACTGAGCAAGACAGACGTGTTGTCCTAAACATTAACTGAGCAAAACTTTGAGAAGAGCTCATTCTCACACTACCTAGAAATTAGGAGACCAACCTGTTAATGCAAATTTACATATGGTTCTTTAAAATTTAGATATCACCATATTTGCTGATTGAAAATAGCCATACTAAAGATGATGAGTAAAATGACATAGTAAAAGGAAATCTGTTTTCTCTTGACTCTTATGAAGTTGTATTTAATTGTCTTTATAAATAACAATCTTAATTTGAATAGAGTAAGAAATTAAAGCTGAGTTTCTCATTTCCTTCTGGAGACCAATTAAAAATCCTTTGGTAAACTTGCAAAATACAAGTACTAGAAGTTCTTTGTGATGACTTGGTCTCATTTTACTTCTCATTATCGTTTTACTTTTTTTATTCTTGATTATAAAACCATACATGTAAGAAGGTAAAAATATAGAGTTCCATTGCATAGAAATCAACAATATGCAGAAATAACTTTTAGTTTATTTGTTTTTCTTCCTTTGGAAATAAAGTAGTATTTTAATATTCAAAATATGATGAAAAGAAAATGAAGAATTATGAGGCTCCATTTTTGTCTTTTCATGATTTTTTTAAAGATTATTTGATAGGTAGAGTTACAGACAGCGAGAGGGAGAGACAGAGGTCTTCCTTCTGTTGGTTCACTCCCCAAATGGCCGCAACGGCTGGAACTGCACCAATCAGAAGCCAGGAGCCAGGTGCCTCCTCCTGGTCTCCCATGTGGCTGCAGGGGCCCAGGGACTTGGGCCATCCTTTGCTGCTTTCCCAGGCCATAGCAGAGAGCTGGATTGGAAAAGGAGCCCATATGGGATGCTGGCGCTGCAGGCAATGGATTAACCTACTGCGCCATGGTGCCAGCCCATGTCTTTTCATGATTTTTGCAAATTGTCCTAACAAATATTTTAGATTGCTGGGCAGAAGGATATAAATACTTTTTGATATCCTAAATCTTACAGAAATCAAATAAAATATTAAAATAGAAATAGTATACTACGTGATCATTAGGTGATATACCTTTAATTAGTTATAAATCACATCTTTCAAGTATTTCAGTGAAGAGATTTCATTCCTCATATAGTAAACAGAGCCTTAGTAATTAATTCATTATATTTTTATGGTGAAAAGCAAAGTGAGTGTTGTAGGGGGGAAGAGACTGATCTTTTCCCCTCATTAAAAAAATAATTAGCAAGCAAAAAACATATAAATTTATTTAGTGGAAGCCTTCAGAAATAAAGACCCAAAGAAGCAGAGAAAACTGTATGTATGTTATGCTAATTCCCGTGAAGAAGAGTGTGCTCCGATGGCAGTCACCTGGGAGGAGCTGGCCAGGCCCTTAGGTTCCATTCCACTTCTCTGTGTCTCTGTGTCTGCAGAGGTAAGGACATTCCTTTCCTCCAGGTAAAGGGAGGCTGCCTTTAGAATGAGGATCCCAGACCTATTTTCAGAGTGAAATCAAGGTTTTATGGCCCTTTTCAAAAGGAGAGAAGAAGCATAGGAAATTTCTAGTTTTCACAGCCTGCTTCTGCTGTTAGTCAAATGCCAGAGTGCCATGTTTTGGTGTAGCATGTCCTGAACCCCATTACTGCATCTGATTTATGAGATTTGCAAGGTCTGTGTGAATTCAGAGTGTGAATTATTCCTTTCGGTTGCATTATAAGTGATTGTACAGCTTTCAGATTTGCTGGAGGTTTACTTCTCTCCTAAATATCTTTTCTCTGTATTTAAAAAGATAGTGTGTTTTAAATGGAAGAATATGATTGTCCATTGAGACTAAAGAAACTAGTTTTCATTCCCTCAAAAAATTCTTTATGTTTCTCTACTATTTTCCCCAAAAACCACAAAAAATTCATTATTTGGGGACCTAACCTACTATCTTCTTTGCTGATGGCTCATAGTCTGCTGGTGGAGCCAATATTTTGAAGTTCTGGGCTTTATTCAACATTCTGATAGCTGTATTGTCATGCTGCTTTTGTTACTGAAAGAGATTTCAGTGGGCTCTACTCAGAGGCTCCATTCAAACCTTGAAACATATAGTTAAAATAGAAAGGGACAAAATGGGGGTTGTTGAGTTTGTGAATGAGTAGAATGGCTACTCTCTTAAGTATATTTTGCAATATTACAGCTTTTACTTTCTGATCTCCCCACCCCTTCTCACTAGGTAACAATTATATCTCCTGTTCCTTTTAAAATTTTGGATAATACTTTAAGTTACAGTGGAAAAGCAAAGCCTAGAAGAAAAAGGAGAAAAGAAATGCTATGGGAGGGGTCAAGGGATAAACAAGTGAAATACTGTGAAAATAGAACTTTAGAGGAGAAATGTTGGCAGTGGCAAGATGAGTTCCCAGAGATTTCTACGATGAAAACAATTTAGGAATGACTTTCTAAACTTCAACTTTAGAACAGAAGCCAAATTGGTTATCAGTTATGATGTAAACTAAATCCTAATTTTTTTTTTAAAGTTAATATCCATCAGTAAAATTATCTGGTGAAACCATTCAAACCAGAGCCAGAATGTTTGTAAAGTTTTGGACTAAAGTAAGCAAAAATTATATAAAATCACGTTTCTTAAAGGCAAATCCAAAGATACTTTTCTTAGATCCCATCTCCAAATTATTTGCTCGAAGACCACATCCTTCTCTCCCCACCATTACTGGTGGCATAAAAAGGATCACTCCCTTCTAACCCATCCAGAATGCTAGTTGGTGAGAAACTAGAAAGAAACTGATCTCTCCCTCTATTTAAGATCTCACCAGAGAGACATCATTTTACTTTGTACTCTTGTCCCGTGATAAATGCTGCCTACTTCCCACCCCCTCTCTTCCCTACTGTCCTCCAGTTTGTATGGGAAAGCAATATAAATACATTGGTTTTGGGTTTGGGCTGTATTTTGTAGTGGGTTTTGAATACAAAATGTAATTGTACCTGTGGAAGACCCTTCCTTATAGGCATTAACTTTTCACACCTGCTTTCTTTTGTTAAAAACGTGTAGATATTCAGATGCTCTCTATTTTTGAAAGCTAGTTATGTAATATATTTTAATGTCTTTTCAAATATATAAGCTAATATGTTTTTCAATCTAGAAAGTAAAATTCTCTATTTTTACAAAACAATTAAATTTATATTTCCCATGAATTTCTTTTTTTAAACTTTTTAAAAAGATTTATTTATTTATTTGAAAGTCAGAGTTACACAGAGAGAAGGAGAGGCAGAGAGAGAGAGAGAGAGAGAGAGAGAGAGAGAGAGGTGTCTTCCATCCACTGGTTCACTCCCCAAATGGCCACAACGACCGGAGCTGTGCCGATCCAAAGCCAGAAGCCAGGAGCTTCTTCTGGGTCTCCCACATGGGTGCCAGGGGCCCAAGGAGTTGGGTCATCTTTTACTGCTTTTCACAGGCCATAGCAGAGACTGGATGGGAAGTGGAGCAGCTGGGACTGGAACCGGCACCCATATGGGATGCCGGCACTGTAGGCAGAAGCTTTACCCGCTATGCCACAGTGCTGGTCCCTCCCATGCATTTCTTTTTGTAAATGAAAGGAAAAAAAGCATGGAAAATGCCTTCTTGAAAAAATCTATCTTTAATTTATTATTTTCCCAATAATTTGCAAATTGTATTGTGAATATACTTTTGTTATTTCTAAGAACAAATGTGACTTAATACCATTGGTTGAACTCTTTAACACACAATTATTCTTAGGTGTTTAAATTTAACTGAAAAGTGATCCCTGTTAAATATAAGAGTGGGAATAAGAGAGGGAGGAGATGTAAAGTTTGGCACATACTCACTCAGACTTACCCCTAATGGTAGAGCTAGAAACGTGCCAGGGGATTCCAAATCAATGCCATCAAGGTGGCATGTACTAATGCCATATTACTAATCAAACTGATCAGTTTCAGTTCATAATTGATCATAATGATAGGATTTAGTGTCTACGGGATCATATAAACAAGACTAGTATCTGCTAATACTAACTGATAAAATGAAAAAGGAGAGAATGATCCAACATGGGAAGCGGGATACACAGCAGACTCATAGAATGGCAGATGCCCTAAACAGCACTCTGGCCTCAGAATCAGCCCTTAAGGCATTTGGATCTGGCTAAAAAGCCCATGAGAGTGTCTCAGGCATGGAAAGCCAAGATACTGTGGCAAAAAATAACCTAATTGGGGCTGGCGCTGTGGCTCACTTGGTTAATCCTCCACCTGCGGTGCCAGCATCCCATATGGGCGCCGGGTTCTAGTCCTGATTGCTTCTCTTCCAGTCCAGCTCTCTGCTGTGGCCCAGGAAGGCAATGGAGGATGATCCAAGTCCTTGGGCCCCTACACCCTCATGGGAGACCAGGAGGAAGCACCTAGCTCCTGGCTTTGGATTGGCGCAGCGCCAGCCATTGCGACCATTTAGGGAGTGAACCAACAGAAGGAAGACCTTTCTCTCTGTCTCCCTCTCTCTCACTAACTCTATCTGTCAAAAAAAAAAAAAAAAAGATCTAAATGAAAGATCTCTGTGAGTGAGATGCCAGCAGAAAGAATGGACCATCAAAGAAGGAGGTACCTTTCTCTGAAGGGAGGAGAGTAGTTCCACTTTGACTATGGCCTTGTGTAAATAAACTTGGAGTTTGGGAACTCAGGAGGCTTCCATAGCTTTGGCAGCTCGTGACAAGAGCCTCGGGTGATTATTGACGTCATAAATAAGAGTGTCAATTGTTAAATCAACAACGGGAGTCACTGTACACTTGCTCCCCATGTAGGATCTCTGTCCATAATGTGTTGTACTATGTGAATTAATGATAAACTACTACTCAAATAGTACTTTATACTTTGTGTATCTGTGTGGGTGCAAACTGTTGAAGTATTTACTTAGTATATACCAAGTTGATCTTCTATATATAAAGATAATTGAAAATGAAAATAAATAAATAAATAAATAATTAAAAAAAGAAATTAGAGAAAAAAAGAACAAATGTGGCCTTTCTCATGGATAGGGAGGAATTGTGACAATTTTATTCCAGTTAGAAACTTGCCATTTTCAGAGTAATTTTTCCATATCTGTTTGATGTATTTTACTCAGCTTGCAAAGTGGATATAAATCATAAAAATAGAGTCTAATAAAATGTATTTCAAAGTCAATAAATACCTACTTTCTTTTGTGTTTTCAAAATATTAAATAATAAACTTCACACAGTAACTTATAATAAAGAAGTCATTTTATTTTGTCATCCCTAAAGAGAAAAATGTAGATCTGATCCCAGATATAAAATTAGTATTTTCCTTTTTCTCTATGTTGCTTTTTAATAAATTTATGTTAAATGTGCCACATTTTATCCTTGTATTGAATTTCTGTTGGCCTTAAACATTTTCCTACCATTATCCCTTCTAATTTAAATTTATAGTAAAGATTTGAGAATCAAATGTAACTCAAGTAGAATAAATAGACAATTTGCCTGATATTTAAGTATTTGTAAAAGTTTCTTAAATGGATTATATTTCACTTATTTGTTTCTCTTATTTGGAAGATAGAGAAACAGAGAGAAAGGGAGAAAGATGGATTGACAGAGATAGCCCATCTAGTGGTTTACTCCCCAAATGCCTAAAACAGCTAGCACTTGACCAGGCCAAGACTTGGAGTCAGAAATTCAGTGAATATCTCCCACCTGTGTCCCTGGGTGGCAGGCACCCATTTCTTGAGACTGCTGCTTCCCAAGCTGTGCATTAGCAGGAAGCTGGAATAGGGAGTAGAGCTGGGACTTGAGCCCATACTCTCCAAAAGGGATCTTAACTGTCGTACCAAATGCCTACCCATGTTTGGCCAATATTTAATGGAAAATTTATAGGGAAATGTTTTTCCTAGGTCCTTGAGCTGATTGATCCAGAATCTTATTTTGATTTTTCAAATGTTTTCACAATAAGTATATAGAAAAAGTAAATCATAAATATGTAACATTAATATGCTGCTATTACCTAATTTTTGGAAATGAGAAATTTAGTGAACATATTGTGTGATTAATGCTGGTTTTTTGTGTGTGTTTCCAATGTTTGTTGTTATTTTATGAAGAGGAAACTCCAAGTACCATTACTATGGGATTCGTGTCAAGCCAGATTCCCCTCTTAATCGTCTGCAAGAAGATATGCAGTATATGGCTATGAGACAACAACCCATGCAACAGAAACAAAGGTAGACTCTGGAATTATCACTGATATGTCAAACCTGTGTATTTCTTAGTTGTTCAGGGCTCCATTTTTCTGGGAAAAAAAAAAGTACCAGAATTCACAGTTGCGTTGCTGTCGTTGGCATGCTTCCACTATGGATCATTCTTAAATGTGATTTAGAATTTCAATGATCCTGTCTGTTTTCCAAATTTTAAAAAATTCTTCATCTCTCAGCCTGTTTGGCCCCTTTTAAGTTAAGTGTGACATCTCAGTCTGTTCAGACAGGAAAATAAAACATAGGGTGCATTCTCAAGCAAATACCAACTGGAGAAACTTGTTTCAGTATTCATGAGCTTCTGACTTGCTATTCTGTACATCTTTCAATTCATTCTTTCTGATACAATATGAATTCTTGCAGAATGTTTGGGACTTCTTAGATTTTCTTTGAATCCAGCTTTTATAGACATAGAATTGAGAAAATAGAGTGTAAGATATCTCACACATTCATGGATGGATGGATGGATGGATGGATGGAATTATAGTTCTTAGAAATAAAAAATACCCATGTCTAGTGTGGCTTCACAGCCAATGACAAAGTATTAATAGCCACCCTGTTTTCTATATAAGTCTTAGAGAGGTTAAATGATTTGGGCCTTCTGATGCCATGTAACTTATGTTACAATTTTAGAATAAAGAAAATGAAAAATCCCTCCTTCTTTACCAGCACAGCTCAGCCATGGCAGCAGTTATGATTTTCTCTTTCCACTGAACATACAGAGCTGGGAGAAAGAAGGTTCTAGCCATTGATCTGGAATGGTAGTTGACCTGACCAGATTGCACATCCATACCACTTTAGTCAGAGGCATTAGTTCTGATTCACCACGGGGCAAAGAACAAATCACACATAGTCCTTCATCTGTCATGGGCAGGGAAATACCTGGTTTGTGGGCCATATAAGGCCCACAAAATTATTTAGTCTGGTCTTGTAAAGGCAACCACAGGTTGGACTCAAAATTCAGTAAATTTATAGCAGGCTAATTTTTAAGTTGAATATTTTGTATAGCCTACAGATGATGTTATAAATATCCATATGCCCCTTGAACGAAAAAAGGTTACCTATTCCTGATTTAGTCGGCAAACACTGTTAGAAGGTGGGGGGGAACACGTGAGGAATTGCAACAACAACAACAACAACTAGGAATGCAATTGGGTAAGTGCTAAAATAAAGTTTTGATCAAGGAACTGTCCAAATACTGAGGAATTTTCAGCAAGCTTTGGGAGAGAGAGGATTGTGAATCTACACGGGGAAAGTGCTATTTGTGTTGGGATTTGGAGGAGTTAGAAAAATATTCAGGTAGAGGGAAAGCGTCCCCCAACCCCCGCACGGAGGTGAAGTCAGTCCATGATGGCTTTGATAAATAGTCCATGATTTGGTGAGGTAGGTGTTGCAGAAGAATTGAGGAGATGATCAAGTAGTTTAGTGACAGATGAGTTTTAAAAAGTAGTTTGGATTGTATATTAAAGGATTTGGTTGTATGTGAAGTTTGTAAATTTGTTCTTTGTGCAGAACATAGCTTTGAAGCTATGTAAGGCTATGAAGCAAAACAAAAAAACTTTGATTTTTTTCTAGAGAGATGACTTTTTGATTTTGGGCAAGACATATTTAATGGGAAGAGACTGGAGGTAAGGAAACTTGCTAAGTGGTTTTAATGCAGTCATAATTTCCAGTGTATGTGTTCCAGACTGAAGACTCACTTCAAGACTGGCTATTTTATAAAGGTATCTCTAGGGTTTTAGGTTTTTTTAATTTAAAGATACTCAGTTTTTTCTTTATAATTGCTGATCCTTATTTTTTGATGTATAGCCAGTGAAACATATTAAGAGTAGGACCTTGTATGGTAGGAGACAAAGTTTGTATGAGTGGTAATAAACTGCTAGTATCTTGGGTTATGATTATTTTTCTGTTTGTTGTAGCAACAGTAAAATAGCTATTACTTTCTGGTGTGAACTGTGCACTCATTTGTAGCAGTACCACACAAGGGAGATGATGCTGATATCAGGAAAAAGAAAACATTTTTATTAGGAATAGCTATATAGTCAGGCTTAATTATGAAGGGAAATTTGAGAAATTGGACCTACCACAGCTGAGGCCTACTTCTTCCTGTGATTTAACCCCTAAGGAACTCCAGCAAGTTTTCATTGAAATGTCAGCTTTCAGGGGACTATACTTTATTTAAAAAAAAAAAAAAAAAAAAAAAAAACTGAGTTAGGTAAATACACCCTTTTGCTTTCTGTGATCTCCTATGAGATTCTGGAGCTATAAAGGTTGATGATTCATGAAAACTTCTGCAGTCTCTATATAGCAGTGGTAATTGCTTTAGAAACAGGTACAGGCGGGGCCGGCACTGTGGCGTAGCGGGTAAAGTCACTGCATGCAGTGCCGCCATCCCATATGGGTGCCAGTTCGAGATCCAGAGGCCACTTCGGCCATCTGGAGAGTGAACCAATGGATGGAAGACCTCTCTTTCTCTCTGCCTCTCCTTCTCTCTGTGTGTAACTGTGACTTTTAAGTAATAAATAAATAAATCTTAAAAAAAAAAAAAAAAAACAGATACAAGGGCCCAGTGCTGCAGCGTAGTAGGCTAACTCTCCGCCTGTGGTGCCAGCATCCCAGATGGGCGCCAGTTTGTGTCCTGGCTGCTCCTCTTCTGATCCACCTCTATTAATGGCCTGGGAAAGCAGTGGAAGATGGCCTGAGTGCTTCGACCCCTGCATCCATGTGGGAGACCTGGAAGAAGCTCCTGCCTCCTGGTTTCATGTCGGCCCAGCTGCAGCTGTTGCAGCCATTTGGGAAGTGAACCAGTGGATGGAAGACTCTCTCACTCTCTGTCTCTAACTCCCTCTGTCTTTAACTCTACCTCTCAAATAAGTAAATACATTTTTTAAAAAAACAGAAACATATAATATGGGTACATTTTAGAAATGACAAACTTCTTTGCAATATTAATAAAGTCTCCTGGCCGGCGCCGCGGCTCACTAGGCTAATCCTCCGCCTAGCGGCGCCGGCACACCGGGTTCTAGTCCCGGTCGGGGCGCCGGATTCTGTCCCGGTTGCCCCTCTTCCAGGCCAGCCCTCTGCTGTGGCCAGGGAGTGCAGTGGAGGATGGCCCAGGTGCTTGGGCCCTGCACCCCATGGGAGACCAGGATAAGCACCTGGCTCCTGGCTCCTGCCATCGGATCAGCGCGGTGCGCCGGCCGCAGCGCGCCGGCCGCGGCGGCCATTGGAGGGTGAACCAACGGCAAAGGAAGACCTTTCTCTCTGTCTCTCTCTCTCACTGTCCACTCTGCCTGTCAAAAAAAAAAAAAAAAAAAAAAAAGTCTCCTTACATTATTTTCTTGGAGAGTTTACTTTCATTTTTAATTTTTTTTGAATTTATTTATTTAAAAGGCAGAGAGGTACAGAAATCTTCCATCCACTGGTTCACTCCCCAGATGCCTGCAACAGCTGGGGTTGGGCCAGGCTGAAACCAGGAGCCTAGAACTAAATCCAGGTGTCCTACGTGGGTGGCAGAAACCCAACTAACTGCTTGGGCCATCATTTGCTGCCTACCAGCGTGTTCATTAGTAGGAATCTGCATTGGAGTGTGGGTGTTCGAAGTATTGTCTTAACTACTGCACCAGATACCTGCCACAAGTTTGCAAATTTGCTTTATTATGAAATAGGAATCACAGAGAAAGAGAGACAGACAGAGAAATATATCTTCCACCTGCTGGTTCATTACCCAAATGGCTGCAGCATCTGAGGCTATGCAAAGCTGAAACTAGGAGCCTGGAACTCCATCTGGGTCCCCCACATGGGTGGCAGGGACCCAAGTACTTGCGCCTTCTTCCCCTGCTTCCCAAGCCCATTAGCAGGGGCCTGGATTGGAAGTAGAGCAGCTGGGACTCAAACTGCCACTCACATAGGATGGTATCACAGGTGTCAGTTTAACTTACTGTGCCACAAAGCCAGCACCAATTTGTTGATTTTTAAATAGTGATACAACTTTTTGCTTATGGATGGTGCTCTTGATGTGGTGCATTGTTAAGTGGTTAGGATCTTCCTTAGTATTAGTCAAGCAGCAAGAGGGTTGTGTTTCTTTGGGGCAGTCTTTCCACTGACTGCACTGATAGGCCTAACCTGAAGCCAGTTGCCACATCAGGACAAACCACTTGGATAGGAGAGAAACTTTCTTTCCATAAGTACAAATGTAAGGATCCTGGTCAGGTGCTGAAAAAGATGGCAAAAGAACTCATTATGTGATTTATTTTATGCTTCAAAAATTAGAAGATGATGATTTCAGAACTCAAATGATTCTACTTGAATATACACAAAGAAGAGACTGCTATTCTGTTGAAATGCAAGTAACCTGTGAAGGATTTAAAAGATTTTATTTCAGGATAATTGGATTGTTTAAATACCTCAAAGTTTATATTATGCCACCTCTCTGTGTGCATGTTCCATAGTGTAACTTTACATGTGTTACCATTTCTCACAGTGAAAAAAAATTCAAGAATAGGCACTAATTATTTTGTCAATTGAATTTAAGCTTTAGTAGTCACTGTATAAATATGTGTGATAAATTTGGACTTATAATAGTTGCAGGATCTATAGTTATTATTGTTTTATATAGATTTGCAATTTCTTATGTTCCTTTGTGTAAGGTTTTTTATTTGAAAATATGACAAGGCAGTAAAGGAAATTTCCACTTATCTACAAATTAGATTCCCAGTAACATTACCATATGGAGCATAGCTATGAGTCTAGAAATAAATGGAAATGGCTTCTAATGGAAAAGCGCCTATCAGGGAGCCTGTCGTTTCACTTAATTGAAAAGATGAAGCCATCCGAAGCCGTTTACCTACAATAAAGGAGCAGATTAGCCCTCACTTGATTCTGAGGCAATCATGGGCTGTGACAGCTGGCAACAGGAAATATAAGTAGACAGACACAGTCTTTTCTTTATTTCTGGGTTATTCAGTACA